CCGCTCTTCTGTGCTCCTCCCACAGCTCCGGCCGCTTGCCTTCCCCATCCCTCTGTGAGGTTATCCCGACTGCCTGTTGACATCCAGCAGTCGCGACGGGGCTCTGTGTGAAGTCTTCACGGCACGGCACTGCGGTCCCCAACATGTAGCAGGAACTCCTTTGCTCTTCTTACAGGGGCTACTGTAAGCTCTTGGAGGATTGGCTACATTAGGGGTGTGTCACTTAATATGCAAATGAGCTCCTGCTACAAAAAGAGCCCTGCGCCCATCAACACCTTTCCCGGTAGCAGTAGAAAAGAGCCAGAGTCCGGGATCACCTTGAAGACTAACAAAATATTGTGCTGGAAGTGCAGAATTCAATGCAACACCATCAGCAGTCTTGCATGGGAGATCTAATAATATAGTATATACGGCTAGACTTTGCCACTGTAACTCTGGATGCATTGAGACAGTTTCACATATCTGTTCACACTGCCAGTTTTATGTAGATATACGTTTTAGATATTTAAACCCTATTTTAGCCAACATGGCGGACTTTCCTGATGCTTTAAAAGTGCACCGTCTTTTGAATAACTCCACTCCTGAAATATCAGGGAAGGTAGCCATGTTTTTACAAGCAGCTATAAAGCTACGCCAGGAAAAACTACCAAAATGAGCAACACTTTGTAACAAATTGTTTTATGTAAGATTATGCGATATTAGGTAGTCTGCGAAATGCTTGGTTTTATTTGGTTTTATATGTCTATTTCTCTTTTACAGTAATCCTTTTAAGGTATGCCAATAAAGGCTAACTGAAGTAAGAAAATATGTGGCAGGGGAGGAGGTTTCAGGAGTCGCTGCTCACTTCTTCAGATACCTTCGGTGACTCCTGAAACCTTCTCCCCTGTCACAAATGTTGTTAGTCTTTAAGGTGCTACGGGACTCTGGTTCTTTTCTACTGCTACAGACTAACAGAGATGCCCATCTTGATCTACCTTTCCTGGTGCCTACCAAGTGTTTTTAGAGAAAGAAAGAAAGAAAGAAAGAAAGAAAGAAAGAAAGAAAGAAAGAAAGAAAGAAAGAAAGAAAGAAAGAGAGAGAGAGAGAGAGAGAGAGAGAGAGAGAGAGAGAGAGAGAGAGAGAGAGAGAGAGAGAGTGTGTGTGTTTTGGGGTTTTTTGCCCTGCAGGGCTTCTGATGGACTGTGCAGATCTTTAGAAACACTGGCTTTCGCAGCAACTGCCACCCCAGCACAAGGCTCTCCAATGAGTAACTGAAAGTTAACTTTTAACTAGGCACCCTGCTACTAGACAGAACTTCTGCCTGAAACGTTGGAGAATCACTATGAGAGCCATGTACAACCTCACTCTCTGACATTACGCAGCTGCCTCCACCTCCTGACCGTTAGAGCGGTT